GCTCATTAAGCTAATTAGGATTGTTTTGTTGCTTATCTTGTTGCAAAAGCATTCCCCTTCTATTTATTTTAGCCACCTGTTGTTTCATCCTCACAAGAAGCCAATATCTTCCTTTATCTGACAAACTCCTACCTTATTATTTACCTTGGCCAAAGACAAAAGCAGAAAGTATTCAGCTGACTGTGGTTGCAATCATTCTTCCCTACTGAATGTTAGACTTCTGTGTTTTGTTTTTTAAATTTTTTTTTCACTCATGATCAGATCATCTGCCTGCTCAAATCATCTGCCTGCTCTGTTTTGTCTTCTAAGCAGCTGAAGGTAAAGAAAACTGCACAGCATCTGGTACTAACATGCAGCACATTGGCCTTCTAACTCTACCTCCAGATCATAACCAATCCTCCTCACCATACAAAGGGGGGGAAATGCTAGAGTGTGAAGGACCCCTTTGTTGATCACAGTTGTATGCAGCACCCACTTGCCCCTGAGTGGGATTCTGGAAGAAGTATGATCTGTGTCACTTTGCCAGCAATAAAAAGGGTCTTTCACTTCTCCAGATGTCATGAAACAGAAAAGCCACCCAAACCCATGTTTGCTGGTTCATTGAACACTACTCATTGTGTGTGCATCAGTATGTACTGCAGGTAACTTCCACAAAATGTAACTTACCTAGAGCACAGTCTTGCACTTTTGTAAGTAGGTAATTGCTTGCCTAGTGAGGGTAGGGGCACTGGAGAGTGACTAGGAAAAGTGATGTTAAAGAGAGAAGGGGCTCATGAAAGAAATAGACTGCAAAGTTGAATTTAGTTCCTTATGAAATTCTTTGAAGAAGCAAAAGTATTTAAAAAACATATTACAATAATTAGCAGTATTTCTTTGGGGATTTGCTTGTTTGACCTTAGCCTTTTAATCTGTCAAAATATGCTAATAAGCCTGACAGACAGAAAGATAAAATACAGAGACAGATGAACTAACTGAGAAAACATCAGTACAATACTGAATATACTTGTGGAAAAAGAAAAGAAAAAGAGTGCAATTAAACATTACCTCAAGGCTTTGATGACATGCTCACTATAATGGAAAGTTGCTTACAAATTGAAAGGAATGTATACATGAGGTCACTATGATTGTGTCTGGCATCTTTGATAGTCTTATTTTGAATAGAAAAACATTTTTCTAAGTTCATTTTTGGTCTCAAATTTCAATCTAATATCTTGAAACACCACTTTCTGCATGTTTTCTTCCTGTTGCAGATCAGTGGATACATGACAATCCATAACTGTTTATGGCTTAAGAATCCTAGAGCTGTTGAACAGGCAGGCAAGAGGTTTCTTTCTGCCTTGAACACCTTTTTTTTTTTCCTGTGAGACCTTTCAAGCTATCTGTGTGAAGCCAATGAAGATAATGGTTCCCAAAATAAATAGCCACTTTTAAGAAACAGTTCTGTTCTTCATTCAAGGTGAGCTGCACAATCAGGAGTATCTCAACAGCAGTAAATGACAACACAAAAATGAGTTCTTACAGGACACCGGAAAAGGACTTTAAATTTTCCTAATTTTGTTTCCTCTACAAAATAACTGTTTCTGTCTTCTCACTGTAAGTGAAAGGGCTTTTGGTGGCACTAGAATAAGGTCATATCATAACAACAGGTATTTAGAGAAGTGTTGTCTGCCCTCACAGGTAAAGCTTCTCAAGCCTTTCTGTTGAAAAGACTAAAAAAACTGCCTGATGATGTTAGTTTTTCACTGATACCACCTATTCCCAGATCTCCAGAGAGCCTTTCTCCAAAATCAGAAACATGACTCTGTGATGATTCTCAGTAAAAGATAGTTCCGACTTCCACTTTTAATAAACAAGCTATAAAGAGGAGGTTAAAAAATTTCTCTCGGCTAATGTTCTCTGCATATCCTGGTGTACTGGGACCCATTTCCTGATGGTGATGATAAGAATTACTGGAGCCACATTAAAAAAACCTGAGGCATGCTTTCCCTTTCAGATATCCTGTTGCCATGAGCTCTAAACCAAGAAATTAAACCTAAATCAGGATGCAGACTTCTCTTTGCTGTGTGACTAAGTTGGGCAACTCACTTCCATGAAGTGAGACTGTGAAGGAGTTCTTCAAAATAAAATGTTTGCACATTGTATATCAGTGTATCTTATTTCCTGACAGGACATCTGATAGTCAGCTTTTCCATACAGCCAAATGAAGCATGACATTTAAAACCTCCTTTTTTTTTTCCAATGAGTGAGCTACCCACCCCACTTAAGCTCCCTAAAAATATATAGAAAATGAAACATAGACATGTCTTAGCAGCCAGAAGTGTGTCTGAAATTACTGCCTTTGCAAAGCTTTTACATTTAGTCAACTTTATAATCACTTAAAGAGCTCATCCAAGATTGGACTTTTTAAAATGTAGCTAAGGGCTTTCTTCCTCTCTCTGAGCCAGATACACAGTTATAAGCCAAAAATTAAACCCAATTAAAATTTTAAAAAGAGTGAATATGGTCTAGCTGAAGGAGATACCCAGGGCCTACTGTTAAGGAACTGAGTGACCTGCCATATCCAGTGTCTTTCAAAGGTCCTCGCACCAGCACCTTGGAATTAAGAATGCTGATCTGCACAGCGCACGGAACGTAGTTCCGTCATTGCTTTTCTTGTTAAGCGTCATAGCTTTGCCTATTGCTCGACTTTCACCTGCAGAGCGTGATGCCTGATTCCCGAAGCAGACGCTCCGCTCAGGTGCCACCGGTGGGAAGCGGAGCCACCCACCCCAGCCAGAATCTGCCGCGACCCGCCGCAGAGGTGTCCCTGTCTTTGCTTTATTCCCAGTAGCCATCTTGAAGACCAACTTTGCGAGGCGGATGGTGAGGAAGTGGGCAGGAAGGCCCCTTCCCTCTCCCCGCAAAGGCATCCCCACCTCCAGCTGGCTGCCCCACGGCTCCCGGCCCCGCTGGCCGTGCCCGCCACTGCCCGGCAGCTGGAGGAGCCGCGCCCGGGGCCACAGGGCTCGGGGAAGGGGCAGCGGGGCCCGGGGGTCCGGGCCGGGGGGCTGCGGGGCAGGGTGGCGGTGCCTTTTCTCCCCGGCGGCTTGGAGAGGTGGGCTGGGGCTTTCAGAGGGGCTGACAGATCTGAAGTTTTGGAGGCTGAATGAAAGAAACACTCAGCTAACAAAACAGTGCGCCACAGAAGAAGTTTCATCTGGTCTGGCCAAATCCCTCCTTTCTTTCCGTCTTTTCTCTCTTAATAACAGCTGCCCTCTCATTCCCTGTTACTCCGCTGTGAAGAACAAAACCTCCCTCTGACTATCTGTTTTTCTTTTCTTCCCCAGAGTAGGTCTCATTACTGGTGATTAGCAGATGATTAAAACCAATTCAGCTTCCCCCAGTAGATATTTTCTCCCTGTTTGTGACTAACGCGTCAGTCTTCAATGAACGTGCTCCTAAGCTTATTAACAGGCTCAGAGGATTAGCTGCCACCGAGCGCCGCCGCGCCGATATTGTGATGCAGCGAGTGACATGGAACCATTTGCTGAGCACAGGCAGGGCCGCTGGGACCAAATATCTAAATCACAATTTTAGTTTTCGTGTAGGGGGGAGGGGGAGGAAATCCTAACAATAATTACAAAAATCAAACGTTTGGCCAAGTCTGAAAATAGCCTTAAACTTAAGGTCAGGAGGACTGACATTCAGGGATAACAACTCCTTGCTCCCCAAAAAATAACCCTCCAAGCCCATCCCAACTAAAAAATATAGGCGGTTCCCTCCCAAGGAGATTAGCTGATTTGAAGTCCAGAAGGGACTGTTTTGGTCAGCCACCACTGCAAAACATACAGACCCGTCTCGAGGTTGATATGCAAAGGCGTAGGTGTGTATCACATCTCTGTATCTGCTCCCCCTATATTACTATGTAAAACCCCAGACTGTAGCACTCTCAAATCGGAGATTAGAGCAGGATGCAAAATTAGAAGCTTCACTTTATCCCACCCATCTCTTTAAAAACGATCAAGCTTAAATAAAATTTAGTAGCTAATAATAAAGGAAAAAAGGTTGAAATTATCTGCAGGTTTGAATTATGCAGTAAATTTTCCCAGAGAAAAAGAAAAAACATCGTGAAACAAGTTAAAATAGGTCATGAAAAATATTTTCAAATTATATGCTTCCTCTCTATTATTTTATACTTTCTATTTGTTCTAGTTTTTTAAGCATTGTGGTATTGAATCTGTGGCCAGATTTGATTCTCTGCATTACAGTCACTAAACAGACATCATTGTGAGTAGCCCAGATAAACAAACTGATTTGTACTCAGGCTCCTTTTAAGGTGATTTGGAGCTCCTAAATAACTAGAAAATCTGGCCATTGGAGTTGTAGAAGAACAGTTTTTCATTTGAGGGAAATATCCTGATGCAAAACACCCCTTTCCTTTTGGAATAGAACACGAGAACAAACGTTTTTCTATACATTTTCCATAAGGTGAAATTATAAAAAAAATGCTGATTTCTGGTCAGACGAAATATTTTATTTGGCATGATTTGTAAAATATATTTTACTTCAAGTTTTCTTTGTTCATTTTTGCAATAGTTGGTATTCTTTATTTGTATATTATACAAACAGAAAACTAAAAATTTTTTTTAGTCAAATTTATCAACTCCTTAAAATCCTGACACTAAGCACTATTTAGAAAGACACTTTTAGAATTCTGGAAAATGTTTTACATCACAAAATCTATACTTTTTGCACTGAGGATTTGTTTCAGGGGAAGATTTCAGAGTGGCAAACTCTGGTGACTAAACAAAGAGTTAGAACCATAACTTTGGGCATCATGCTTTGAAAACAAAGCGAAAAACCCCAACCCAACTTTACAAAGTTTACATTAAAAAATCCTTACAAGGGTTTTTTTCTCAGTCTGTTTTTAAAAGCTTTGAAATAAGACTCTCCCAAATAATTCCCTTTTCACATCTTCAAATTTGTTCCATTTATATTTTTCATTGTCCCTTTCCAGTGCAGCTTAACTCTGAGTGTGCTGAAGCTTGAAATGTAGCTTCCGATTTATAATAGCAACAGGGCATGCAGCAAATGTCAACAAATCCCCCGTCACCCAGGCAAGGAGGAAATGTGAGAGGTAAGGCAGAATAGCCCTTCCTTGCTACATAACACACACACACACACAAAACCCCTCAGTGAAAAATAAAGAACTAAGGTCTTGTTCATGAGAAGCTATATGACTCCGTTAATATCAAACCAAAATCGTGACAGGAGGGTGACTTGCATTGAAAATTGCCAGTTATACATTCAATGCAGGTATAGACCTGCACAATTGATATGTACTTAATTTTAAAATGAAACTACTCCACCATCTATCTCCCTTTTTGCAAAATTAAAGGAATTAAAACACACTAGACTGACCATATTCTGAAAAAAAAGCACTCCATTAAACCCACATCACTGACCTTAAGTGACCTCAATAAATAAGTAACTGCTGAAGGCTCAACTCCCTTGTGAAACAATAGACCCAAACTTCAGTTGAGCGCATGCAAGAAAATGTCACAGGAGGGTAGCACAGGATTTCAGAGCAGAAAGTTTGAGAAATAAAAAGTACACACTGCCAAGTTACTGAGGTAACCTTTTAGCAAAGAAAATTCTGCATTTGTCTTAACTTTTAGAGCAGCAGGTACACCCCCTTCTTGCCATTCTATTAATAGAAATGGGGAGATGTGGTAGAAATACATTGTTTTCTTTTCCAGTCACTCTTTTTCCCTGTCTCTAAGATGTCATCTTATAAATTTATTCACTGGCCAATAATAAATCATGCAAAACATAGCAGGCCACTGGTTCTTTGTGAATTTTCTGTCAGTGGTTTTTACTCTAATGTGATCAGTCACCTGAGTCACATTACAGGCTTATTTCTGGCTCTAGCTTGGAACAGAGTATACCTGTAAGACAAGAGGGAAAGCTGCCTTTGATTGTGTCAAAAGGTCTATGAAATTAGGAGCTGATACACTGGCTCATAAAAGAAATTTAAGAATATTTTAAATCTGTTCCTTTGGACTACTTCCTGCCTGAAAAATCCTTCCTAGGAAAATGTGAATATTATGAGCAGGTTCATTCTTAAAATGGATTTTCTTCTGTTATCGTCAGGGACAGAATATGATTTAGATAAACAGAGTGTGGCAGGGAGCTTTTTTGTGTCATTTGAGGCCTTGTCCCTCTGTAAGTTGAGGCCAGTGCCTATGAAAAGCAGGGTTTGCCTGTCCATCATATATGCAGATTTGAACTCAATACCACAATTACAAGAGATGGAGTTAGTTCATCTTTAGAGGCTACCACCACTGAGCTGGATATTACCTTCTTAATCCCAGCTAGATAACAATCATGTGTTAGTTAAAACCACTGTACTGGTTGTTTCGCTTCTTTCTGAGACAAAAGAAGTAAAGAGATGATACTCCGTCTGTGGCCAGAACCAGACTGGCTCAGAGAACGGCAAGCTCATGTAAAATTAAGTTCTGAATGTTAATCTTAAAGCATTCATGTCCTAGTTTAAAATATCTGACTTAAATTCAGAAGTAGCAAGCTCAAAAAAAAAGAGTTAGGAAGAGATAGAGAGAGCAAGGTGTATGCAGAAGACTAGTTTTAGCACTCAGTTGGTATTGATACTAGAACACTGGGCAATACAGCAGTAGTGTTGTGCAGGCATCATCACTGGGACTTCTCCTCTTGCTCAAGTCTCCAGTTTTAAAAACCAGATTATTAAGCAGGATTAATATTTTCATCATCTTTTTACATGGAAGGATAGAACATGTCTGGGTAGGAGAGACTCCATTTTCTGATTCACTTGTGTGTTTACTTTGTCTTGAATTCAGTGATATTTTTTTCAGTAGGAAGAAATAAAGTTGTTGCTGACTTTGTATTCTGCTGTACCACAACACTTGGTAGAGGGAAAGGAAAGCAAATGTGCCGAGTTGCCAGGAGACAGATTTATTCTTAACTTCAGCATCTTGGCACTTCCACCATGACACTGCTTTCGTCTTTCTTCATTCCCTCATACTCCAGGCACAAGGCAGATTGATCAGAAATAGCAGGAAATGACCCACTCCTGTTTTCTACTAAATCATTCAGTTCTGTTTAGTTTTGAGCCGTTCACAGCCCCACAAAAAAGCCTGAATATTTTCGAAGAATGGCTGTGAAATGGGTGCAACATGGAAAATTCAAGTGGCAAATCTGCCTAGAAAAGCATCTGGTCCTTCTTTTCCTGCTTTCTTGCTTCCAAATGCCTATTTCGTCTTTGTGTTTAAAAGTAGCACTTGGGGAGAGGGGAAATAAATCAATCTGGTAATCTGTTTTTCTTGTGAAATAATATCTGTTTGCAAACATTCTTAAATGTGGATTAGGAATGGGGCAGAACTGGTGTTCCCCATCCAAACCTCTGCCACATTCATAGGACTAATCTGAAAACACATGCCATCATAAGAGAAGTATCTTTAGAAAATAGTTTTTCTGTTTTTTTTTTTATCTGAAGTTGAAGCCTAACCTCCAACATAAACCTGGGAGCGTACACAGTCTGAACTGGTTTATCTTGTCTGTAACATTTCTCTATCTGTTCCTAGACTTCACAGTTTTTAATCTGACAATGAAAGAAAGAACTTGAAGAAACTATGGAAAGCAATTAGTGATATTAGAGAATGGAAATGGTAGAATTAAAGAAATAAAAGTCCTATAATGAATCCAAAAGCATCAACAAAAGCCTTATATGGATAGAGAAACCACACCCGATGGCACACAGAAATGGAGCCTTCTATGGTGTAGGACAAGAAAGTACAGCACTCTCATGCCTTGAGGGTGGATAGAAGTTGTGGAAACCAGAGAATACTGGTCAGATACTGGAGAGAAGAATTATTTTAGTTGCAATTTCTGAAGAACTAGAAAGTAGGACTCCTTTACTGTAAGGAAAAAGGATTACGCAGAATCAGATAATATGCTGAGTTGGAAGGAAGGGACCCACAAGGATCATCGAGTCCAGCTTTTAGCCCTGCCCGGGACCACCCCCAAGAGTCACAGCATGTGCCTGAGAATATAATCCAAATGCTCCTTGAACTCTGTCAGGCTTGGTAGTGTGACCACTTCCCTGGGGAGCCTGTTCCAATGCCCAACCACCCTCTGGATGGGAAACTTTTTTCTAATATCCAACCTAAACCTCCCCTAACAAAGCTTTATGGTGTTCCCTTAAGTCTATCACTGGTCACCAAACGTGAGAAATAAGTGCCTCCCTTCTGCTTCTCCTCATGAGAAAGCTGAAAGTTCTGAACCTGCAGAAATCTTTATGAGCAATAATGGTGTGGAAGATTTTCAAGGTATTGATCCTATCTGTTGGCTTCATTGTTCCTTTTCATTCTTTTCCTCTTTTTTTCTGCACTGTACAGTTTTTTGTAAACTTTAAAGGTAAAATTGTCTCCTTGCTTCTTTTCTTGGAATAACTCCTTGATGAAAGTCTGACATGTAGGAATCTGCTGGTAACAATGGAAAACCCACAGAAAGAATAGTCTTTAGAGATAAAAACTTACTTCTTCATGTACAGCACCATATGTAAGGAATAAATAGAAGGCAAGTTCTCCATGATTTCTTATTTTCTTCTCTTCTTCAGGAGAAACTACAACTCTGTCTGAAAAAAAATGAAGAGAAAGCTGTTGTTTAGAAGACCATCCAACAGCGTAACAGACTTCTGAATTTGATAGGGTGCTTAGATAGTGATGAGAAGAGCAGGAACTTGAAAAGAAGAAAACAAGAAAGGAAGGCAAGAATGAAGAGAGATGGAAGCAGAAGAACAGTCTAGTCAATATAAATTTAAACAGAGAAGAAAATGAGACTAAAGAGGATCAGAGAAAGGTGAAGGAGTTACTTTCAGAGGAATTTCCTAGCACTGAGAGAGTAGATAGCAGGACACGATGGAGCTCTAAGAGACTATTTTAGACCAGAAAGGTCATGTTTTAGTTGCCAGGAATTTGTTCTCAGTTACTCTGATCTGTATAATGTACTGTCCCATTTCTTGGAGACACACCAAAGGATTCCAGATTATCAGCAGCTACCTGATCTGCAATGCTGGAGAGATGAGAAATTCATTAACAATTTTGCAAGGTGGATGAGACAAAATGTTTTCCAAGTAGTGCTTGTATGATTTTCAGTGACATTTATGCATATCACAAGTCTGCTTTCTTTTTCAACTGTACTGAATCCAGTAAAGGTGAAAAAAAGGGAATCAGTCCAAATAAACATTGTCCTTCCATAGCTCTGTGTACCAAACAGAAAAATCCAGAATAACTTTAGCTGTGTAGTGGTATGGATGCTGTAATCCAAATGATTTGGTCATTTGGTTTGGCCATATTGAAAGAAGGCACATCTAAAAAATATCTTGGGGTTGCACACTATACATCTGATATATGTGTCCATGAGTATTCTACCTTGTCTGCACAGTCAATGATGATGGAATATTATCCTATCCTGGTAATACATTCACAGGCACAGAGGGAGGATATATGTCCGATCAGTTGTACACATGCAGGTTCAGGAAATGCTTTTCTTCAAACCTCATTGTTACTTCAGCAATACTTTCAACTTTGATAGCCCTGAGGAATATAATAAAATTAATTTCCTTGCAAACCTCAATGACGAATTCAAAAATTGATTTCCCCCTTTCTGCTTGATAGGCAACTGACTCCTAGCTGTCCAGATAGCAAAACTCTCTTGGATAACAAATCACAGCAAACAGCATATGGAATTTCTCAGGTGGGTAAGTTGCAGCTTCATGGCTGGGACAGAGAGCTCTAATCTAATGTCTTAATGAACGTGCTTTTGTTTAATGAGATGATTGTCTACTTACTGCTGTATTTCCAGTGCAACTGGCTCTTTCTAAAGTGAACTTGCATTCTTGGCTCAAGAAGGTAATACGCAATGGGATGATTTGTCAGCTTATACTCAGGCTGCAACTCCTTTATTCTTGTCCAGTAGTTCATGCTATAGTGCTGGTACTGCTGGAATGATTTTGGTTTTTCATTTTCTGTGATATCAAAACTGCTTCTCATTTTTCCACTGGTTTCCGAGGCAGCTGTGAAGGAGTGTAACAGAGAAAAAAACCATGTTCTTAAAAATATCTATATTTCTATGTATCAACATTAGCCACAAATGCCCTTATATCATAGACAAGTAGTTGCACACTATTGCTGTGCATGGTAAGTTTCAGGCAAAGAATTCCATGCTTCAAGCACATTTCCTTTCACATCCTAAGACAAGTTGTCCCAAACCACTCTACCAGCTGGATGAATTCCTGCCTACTTGTGTCAAATAGGATCAGTTTTCTGTTTTACTTGACGCTGATACAGAACAGTGCTAACAGATACGTAGGGTGTGACATCAAGCTGCTAATATCAGTAAGGTTTCAGGGTAAGCCCTGAAGATCAATTCTTTGAGTTATGCAATGGAGAAAGAGGAATGAAAGATATGGAGCTGTGCACTTTCAGTGCAAGGCTTTCATCAGCCTGCAAGCTTATTAATGGAATTTTTTCCTATGCACTAATATCACAGATGGGTAGTGCTGGAGAAATGGCAGGCACAATGAGATTTCCACTGCAGCAAACGGGAGCGAGGGGAATCATACTCTTAGCTTTCTTCCAGGCAAAGCAGAGGGCAAAACTGTCTGAAGAGTCTAGATGTTTATGCAAATGACATACAGGGGAGAGCAGAGGACGAGTTAGTTTCCATTGCCTTAATTTACCACAACTGAATGTTTTCACTGTATCTGCCTTGAAGAAAACAGCTTGTGTAAACATCTACACCAGGGGCTACCTTACATTTAATGTTTTAGCCTCACCACGTGGCTCTCAAAGACATGAATGACTGCAGTGTGGATTGTGGAAAAAAAAAGAATAAAATGGATGAGAGCGGATTAAGTTTTCAAAGAAGACAAGATCAGTCTTATCTCAATAGCCATTCGTTTCACATCTTTACTACTTTTGTCACAGCAATACTATCAGAACAGAAAAATGTTAATTTTGCTAATATTCTCTCCTGGACTCAAAAATGAATGTAATGAAGGAAAAAGACTTAAATAAGATAGAGTAATTTCCTGAATGCCAGCAACCAGAGCAGGAAGGAGTAGATAAATGCTGGTTCACAATAACTCTCACGTACCACCATTGGCCTTAAACACACCAACTATTAAACAATAAATGTGATCCCACCTAAGTCAGCTCAATTCAGATCCGTATCTGATTTTGTAAGTGATGTACCTAACCCAAAAAGACAGGCAGAGTTTCTAGTCTGGGTGCAGTTGATTCGGAGTGTGACTTCTGCGTTTGACCCACATATTGATATTCTAAAGTGGCTCAATTTATCAGCCTGAGTCAGTGATGCCCTGAAGATCTTTGCACTATGAAATACCCTCAGGCTTCACGGAATCACAGAATGGTTCAAGTTGGAAGAGACAACAGCGGGCCATCTAGTCCAATCTCCCTGCTCAAGCAGGGTCATCCTAGACCACATGGCACAGGATTGTGTCCAGACGGTTCTGGGGTATCTCCAGTGAGGGAGAGTCCACAACCTCTCTGGGCAGACAATCTGCTCCAGTGTGTAGAACTGTTCCAGGCTGTTCCAGGCTATTCCAAGCTATCCCAGGGTGCCTGTTCGAGGCTTCCAAGTGAACTTAAGTAAGCATTTTGAGTTAGGCAATATTAAAACCAAACCACACCTAACCAAACCAAAAAGCAATATATTAGATTTGACCCAGGAGAAATGATTCCAGTTGAAATCCTTACATTTTATGTCCAGATTGTAAAGTGGATCAGGAAGCCCAAATTTTCACTCAGATGAGTCTTGATTTCCTCTCGTGGTTACATGGACACTTTTGCTTCAGCATAAGCAGTTTCAAATGTGGCTGTGCTGCATTTGTCAGTAATAATGGTAGGTACAAAGCCTTATGTTATTTACAGTCCTCTAAAAAACCGAGTTCATCAGGATACCCCAATACCATTAATCTGATGAAACTTCTGCTAGTGCTTTATCTATCTAAATTATGTAGTGTCATTTAACTGAAGAAAATGACTCCATGGTAGTAAAGACAATGCAATTTAGTGCAATAACTCTCCATAATGAGAAATACTTGAACCTCAAAAATGTGGTAGAGGAAATATAAATGAAAAAATTGTGATTTGGGGGGAAAAAAGTCTTTAGTTAATAGTTAAGAGTTTATCATGACAATGCATCTTCAGAAATGTATTTTATTCTGGTAAGAACTCAAATGACATAGCACTGTGGTTGTATGACAGTCTCCTATATACAACAGAAGCAGAGAGCCACAGAATTAGATAATGTGAGTTAGGCTGCACACCAAACCTGTCCTGCTACAGTCCAAATGAGGTTATTGACTCAGAGAAAGAGTCATTGATAAAGCAATTATTACCAGCAGCCAGATGTGTGATAGCTCATTTTTGGAAATGGACAGATGCCCCAGCATTAATGTCAGAGATATCAAACATAAGAAATCCTTTGAATAGAACCAAAGTGATAGGCAGTCTCATATCAAAATCTAATAGATTTAGTAGGTTACGTTTCCTTGGAACTGCAACAGAATAAACACACGACTAAGAGGCCTAATAACCACAAATGAATCTTTTAAAGGTGTCAAATTTGCTATGTATGAATCAGATTGTCTAGAAAGTTTGTGCATTCTAATAATGACTTTTTTTTTTTAAGCTACCAGGACATAATGTACTCTAAAGTTAGGTGCATAATTTCAGGTACATTCCATTTATTTCCATTCATTGCACATCCTTATTAGAAAATTCTGTTGTCTGAATATTACACTGCTGTGCCAAATATGCAATTCTGTAAATCAGCCAGGGAGAGAGGGTGCCAGCCTCTCCTGATGATAAATACAGTGGCAGGAATCTACTTTGTTTTGTAGCATGTAAGGCTGATTAATCCAAAGCTGTTTGCAAACTTCATTTCATACAGGATACCCCCATCCTTACAATCAGATTAACAAATCAAAGGTACATTCAGACTTGGAGACAGGTTGCCACTTAAGCATTTCAGATACTCAGGCATTTAGTTAAACTAAGCTTGGATTAACAAGGTCTGACTATTTAAATGGAGTTGTGTTTAGGGGTTCTCTGTCTCCACTGATTTTGAATGCTGTGCTCATGGGGCAGTGCTGTCCAGTCTTAAGAGCTCAGTGAGCTTACAGAGCTTTACAGCCTCCCTGCAAGCTTCATGAGCTTAATTGAAGATAAGCATATACAAACTCACCTTCCTATAAAGACTTCTATTTATGTGAGGGGGGAAAAACCCCAAACAAATCTCTTTATGCAGGGACTAAGCTGCATCTTTCCTGTCATCATTTATACTTATTTTTATATAGTGGAATTTATTAGACTAAACCCCTTAATCATGTGGAATAGATGAAAGGGGAATATTCAACCCTGTTACCTTTTGTTGTCACTTGAAACTGTCTAGGAGGTGATAGAATCTGATCAAATTATTTGTTAGGAACAAGTCATGCCAACTGATTTTAGCCTGGTGGAAAGTGGATCTGTGAGGGTGTGAGCTAAAGTCCCTTTCTGACTTTCTTTCAGAATCTGTAAAAATATAAAGGCAGAACTTCCCTAGCTAATATGCCCAACAGTATTCCCTTAACACTTTGAAATGTCTGACTCTGTCACTTAGGGAGACCAAACTCGCAATGATGAAGTGAAGAAATGAGCAGCATCTCATATCATGTGAGTGTCCTCACCATTGAGAAAAGGAGGCCATTGGAGACCATATAATTTAGGATTGATGGCTTTGTCATGTGTAAGGGTTATCGAACAATGGTTTAATGATGCTGCTGCACTAAGAGTTTTTTTGTGTGTCGTGCTGGTTTTGGCTGGGGCAGAGTTAAATTTTTTCACAGTGACTAGTGTTTTGGATTTATACTGAACACGGGGTAGATAATATAGAGATGTTTTTGTTATTGCTGAGCAGTACTTACACAGGGCCAAGGGCCTTTCTGTTTTTCATGCTACAATGCTGTTGAGTAGAGTGGAGGTGCATGGGAAATTGGAAGGAGACACATCCAGGACAGGTGACCCCAACTGACCAAAGGGATA